CCCCCCCCCCCCCCCCCCCCCCCCCCCCAAACTCACTAGTTTAAAGTCCTAGTGACCACCCTATTTATCCTTTCCGCAAGAACACTGGTTCCAGATCGGTTCAGGTGGAGACCGTCCCATCGGTACAGATCCCTCCGGTTCCAAAACTGATGCCAATGCCCCATGAAATGGAACCCCTCGTTTCCACACCACTCCCTTAGCCACATGTTTACTTCCTTAATTTTCTTATCCCTAAGCCAATATGCACATGGCTCGGGCAGTAATCCAGAGATTATGACCCTTGAGGACCTGTTCCTTAATTTCGTTCCTAGTGCTTGATAATCCCCAAACAGGTCCTCCATCCTAGCCTTGCCTATGTTGTTAGTCCCAACGTGGACCACAACAACTGGATCCTGCTCCAATATCCTTTCAAGCCGGTCAGAGATGTCCTGCACCCTGGCACCGGGCAGGCAACACACCATGCGAGACTCCCGATCCGGCTTGCAAAGGATACTATCTATCCCCCTAACTATAGAATCCCTTATAACCACCACTTGTCTTTTTGCTCCCCCCTCTTGAATGGCCTTCTGCACCATGGTGCCTTGGTGAGCTGGCTCATCCTCCCCACAGCCCTTTTCCTCATCCACACAGGGAGCAAGTATCTCGTACCTGTTGGATAGGGTCAAAAGCTGAGGCTCCTCCACTCCTGAACTCAGGATCCCACTATCTGCCTCACTTGCAGTCACACCCTGTTGCCCCGATCACTAACTGAACTTGAATTACTTAATCTCCCAGGTGTGACTGCCTCCTGGATGTGCTGCAGTGTTTGAAGCTCAGATTCCAGATCTTCAACTCTGAGCTGGAGTTCTTCCAGCAACCAACACTTGCCCAAACATATTCCCGGCAGCCCCCTGGTCCTCGCTGTTGCCTCTCCCTCTGCTGCTGGGAAAAAAAATCTTATCAAAGTCTGCTTGATTTTCAAATAACGCACATCCACTGTTTCTCACGTGTTCTCATCCTCAAAAAAATCATGATGACTTTATTTTACCCTTTAATACTTCCCAAGAGTTTTGTTATTACATCTGCTAAAAAGGCACTATATTAGGACAGCAAAAGGTGCCTGATCCAGTCCCACACAACAGACTTGAGAAATGTGATAGATCATTGAACCCCAATAGGATGGAAGTAATCCATTCAACCCATTGAGTACCCACCAACCCTCTGAAGAACATCCCACCCACACTCACCGCCCTAAGCTATCCTGTAACCCTGAACACTATGGGCAGCTTAGCATGGTCACTCCACGTAAACTGCACATTCTTCAGACGAGGCAGGAAACTGGAGCATCCAGACTATTGTCGAAATGTGCAAACTCCACACAGTTACCCGAGGGTGGAACTGAACCCTTCCCTGGCACCGAAAGGCAGCAGTGCTAACCACTAAGTCACCGTGCCACCCCCGATTATGGAATGAAAGCAACAGCAGTGACACAGATGCATAATTGACTGAGGGATATGAAATAAAGAGCTCAACAGATCTTTTTTTGAGATGAAAGAACATTTGTAGTTGAGTTCTGCAGTAGTCACTATTGGGACTGGTACTTTTCATCACTTTCAAGGATATTTTGGTGGAATTGTCAGATTCAGATGTAGTTCAATGAAGAGACAGTATATACAAAGGCTACTATTCTGTAGGGTGTGTGGGAGAAGACAGACTTGTGTATATATGTGCATAACTCACCAAAAATGGCAGAACAGGTACAGAGAGCTGTTCATAAAGCATACCGTATTCTTGGTTTAATTAATAATGGTATAGAGAAGAAAGGCAGGGAGGTTATGATCAACTTACATCAGACACTAGTTAGACCTCAGCTGCTGTGCTGTTAACAGTATCATATTTTAAGTATGTGAATGCATTGGCAAGTATTCATTTTCATTTCTATCTACACCAATGATGCTCAACGGTAGCAGTCTGTACCATCCACACTGCACCAAGTATCCTCAGACATAACCTACTTGCTTACAGGATCGAATACAGTGCCACCTGCAAGTTTCCCTCCAATCCACTCACCATCCTGACTTGGAAATATATCGTCATTCTTTCAGTGCTGCTGGGTCAAAAATCATGCAAGTCCCTAATGGCATTGTGGGTGTACTTACACCAAATGGACTGCAGTGGTTCAAGAAGGAAACTCACTACCACATTAAGGGCAAAAAGGGATGGTCAATAAATGCAGGCCCAGCTAGCAACACACACACCCCAAAAGTGAATTTAAATAAAACGGATTGATAACCAGACAGCACAGTTTTAAAATGTTTTGCAAAAGAAGCAAATGTTAGCTGAGAAAAGTCTTTTTCTCATAGCAAGTTGTTACGGACTGGAATACATTCCTGGGAAATGTGGTGGAGACAACTGCAAGAGAGGCATTCAAGATTGTTTAAAGAGAAACATTGTGCAGGGTTACAGGTAGGAGTTTGACACTTTGCTTAAATGTTCAGAGAGCCAGTGCAGATACAATGAGCTTAATGACCCGATTCTGCACCTTAAAAATTCTGCAACTCTGAAATACCCGACAGATCCTTTTTAACCCAGAATTAAATGTCTGCTATATAGCTGTCCTGGCGTATGGACCATCTTTTACAGACCAACCTGTTTTAATGAGATTTATTGTAAATGAAGTAACAGCTGAAATGTTGAAATACCTTCAAATGATAGGTTATGGAGTGTCACAGAAACATGCTATGTCTTCACAATAATTAAGCCATTTTAAGACTCAAAAGTTAATCCTTAAACCTCAGGTCAGGAACAGATCACAGTTTGACACCAATCTCTGATTTTACTGCACTTTCCTAGCATTCACCATTGGTCTAACCAGCTGTAAACACAGTTGTAAGGGAACCTTCCGATCTGTGTCTATGAACTCTGAACCACAGCAGTGAGGAGCTGGACCATATTTCCCACACATCCCAGGTTTAATCCACACACAGCCTTTTCCATCAATGAACTGTGACAAGAGGTCCAAAGTGTCATTTGTACCTCTTGGTGTGGCCTTGAAGACTGTATCCAGGCAGAAATTATTTTCCAGCCAAACAGACTTTCACTCAAGTTGTCCTGTCCGAAGAAGACTTGAAACGCAAACAGAGTTAACTAATCTCTTCTCTAATGCTGCCAGACATGAATTCCTCTAGAAACTTTTATTTTTTTATTTCAGATCTTCTGCTGGATTTTCCCTTCATGCTATTATCCTTTCTGAGATCTATCTGGGACGGAAAGACAAATCGTTGTAGTGTACTTCAAATGAAATTGTTTCACGTTATATTTATCCGGAATGTTAAAGTCTAGGCCAGCTACTAAATTCAGCACATACACATTAACATTTTCAACTATCAGAATGAATCTGGTTCAGTCCTGGATCAGATTAACCCCAGCAATACCAGCAGAATCAAACCTGCTGTTGGCTGTGAATACGCTGATGTTTCAGCAGGTTGTTTGACTGGGTGAAGCCCTTGCCACACACAGCACAGGTGAATGGTCTCTCTCCAGTGTGACTGCGTTGGTGGGACAGAAGATTCCATTTGCTTTTGAATTTCTTTTCACAGTCGGGACATTGAAAAGGTTTCTGATCGCTGTGAACCAGCTGGTGTGTGTTGAGGCTGGATAACTGAGTGAACGCCTTCCCACAAACAGAGCAGACAAATGGCCTTTCGCCAGTGTGTATGCGCTGGTGTGTCAGCAAGTCAGATGGGACGGTGAATCTCTGCCCACACTCCGAGCAGGTGAATGGCCTCTCTCCGGTGTGAAATCGCTGATGTCTAAGGAGATGTGATGGCTGAACAAATCCCTTCTCACACACAGAGCAGGTGAATGGCCTCTCCCCCGTGTGCGTGCGCTGGTGTCTCAACAGGTCCTTCTTGCTCTTAAAGCTCTTCTCACAGTCAGGACATTTAAATGGTCTGTGATCAGAGTGAACTCGTTGGTGAGTCAGGAGATTTGATGAAGCATTAAATCGTTTTCCACAGTACAGGCAGAGGAATGGCCTCTCGCCTGTATGAACCCGCTGGTGTGTGTGGAGTGTGCAAGACTGGGTGAATCCCTTCCCACACACTGGGCAGGTGAACGGCCTCTCCCCGGTATGACTGCGCCGATGAGTTTCCAGTTGACATGGGTAACTGTATCCTTTCCCACAGTCCCCACAAATCCACGGCTTCGCCATGGGATGGGTGTCGTTGTGCCTCCCCAGGTCTGAAAATCAGTCAAAGCCTTGTCTGTGGAGTCTAGAAGGATGAGAGGGCATCTTATTGAAACTTACAGAATAGAGGGATTCCTGGATACCATGGACGTAGAGAAGATATTTCCACTAGTAGTAGTGACTAGAAGCCGAGGGCACAGCCTCAGAATGAAGAGACTACCCGTTCGAACTTAGATGACAAGGTATTTTTTCAGCCAGAGGGTGGTTACACTGTGGAAGCCATTGCTGCAGAGGGCTGTAAAGGCCAAGTCATTGAGGTGAACTTAAGACAAAGATAGATAGGTTCTTGATTGGCAAGGAGATCAAGGCAGGAGAATGGGTTCAAAAAACATACCAGCCATGATCGAATAGTGAAGCAGACATGATGGGCAGAATGGCCTAATTCTGCTCCCGTTTTGTATGGTCTTATGGTTCTCAAACACATGGAACACATGTACAATCTCTTCCTGATGTCAATGGTGCAATGATTTATTGCACACTGGGTAACTGGTTAAAGGCTTTCCCGCAGTCAGTAACATCCTCACTCGGTTGTGAATGTCTTGGTGCTCTGAATCACACAGATATCTGAAATCTTTTCCCAGTAACAGAACAGGCAAACAACTCTCCCTTCTTTATTCAAACAGTTATGACCTGATGAGTCAAATAACTGTTAAATCTCAATGTCACATTTGATTTGTTTTCTTGATCTGGAAATGCTCCCTTCCCAATATCCTGTAAGAGAATTTATAAAACCCATCAATTCAAATACAAAATAAAAATGCAGAACAAAAACTTCTTGTTTCCTGCTTTGTTTCCCCAAAACCAGAAATCCTGGTCCTACTTTATCCCTCCTCCCTAGGCTGAAATAAAAATTACATCATTGACACCCTTTCTTCCTTCACAATCAGTTTAAACCCTACCTCTATTCTGGTGAAGTCTAATTCTCCATCCCATATGGGGACGGAGCATGAAGTCAGTCAACCATTTTCAACTGCTTCTCAATGAACCCCCCACCGTCCTCAAGGTCAGAGGTGGCGATATTTGCTAATGACTACATAATGTTCAGCACCATTTGCTGCTCCTCAGATACTGAGACAGTCCATGCCCAAATACAACAAGAACTGGACATTATCCAGGCTTGGACTGACAAGTGGCAAGTAATATTTGTGCTACACAAGTGGCAGGTGATGATGAGCTCCAACAAAAGAAAGAGAATCTTACCATTACCTCTTGACATTCAATGGCATCAGCATCACTGAAGCCCGCACTATAAACAGACTAGGGATTTTCATTAGGCAAAACCTAAACTGGACTAGTCACATAAGTAATGTGGCTACAAAAGCAGTTCATAGGCTAATGATCCTAGAACAAAACAGTACAGCACAGGAACAGGCCCTTCAGCCCACGAAGACTGCACCAACACATAACGCCTTTCTAAACTAAAAGCCTTTTGCCTCTGATGATCTATATCCCTTTAACTCCTGTCTATTCGTGTATCAGTCAAGATGCCACATAAACATTGCAGTTATATTTATTTCCACTATCTCCTCTGGCAGCGCATTCCAGGCACTTACCACCTTGTGTAAAAAAAACTTGCCTTTCACATCTCCTTTAAACTTACTCACTTTTACCTTAAATCCATGTCTCCTACTAATTGATATTTCCACCCTGGGAAAAAGACAACAACTATCCATTTTATCCAAGCCTTGCATAATTTTATAAACTTCTGTCTGGTTGCCCCTCAGGCTCTGACATTCAAGTGAAAATAAACCATGTTTGTCCAACCTCCATTTATAGATAATACCCTCCAAAACCAGGCAATATCCTGGTAAACCTTTCCTGTACCCTCTTAAAAGCCTGGACATACTTCTGGTAGTGTGGTGACAAGAACTGTTTGCAATATTCCAAATATGGTCAAGTGAAAGTTCTGTAAGGCTGCAACATGACTTGTCAATTTCTATACTCAACAAGGGCCCCAATACTGATCCCTGTGGAACACCATTGGTCACAGATTTCCAGTCAGAAATACACCCTTCCAAACAGTTACTCTCTGTCTTCTATATCTAAGACAGCTCCATATCCATCTTACCAGCTCGCCACGGGTCCCACATGAATTCACTTTATGTGTCAGCCTGTCATGAGGGACCTCGTCAAAGGCCTTGCTAAAGATCTTGTAGACAGCGTCCACTACGCTGTCCTCGTCAATCATCTTCAGCATTCCTCAAAAAAATCAATGAAGTTTGTGACATGACCTCCCCCATACAGCCACACCATTTACTGCTAAGTACAAATATGTATAAATCTATCTAAGAATTTTCATCAGTAATGTCCTTACCACTGAAGTAAGGTTCACAGGCCTGTAATTTCCTGAATTATCCCTGTTGCCTTTCTTAAAAAGGAACAACACTGGCTATTCTCCAGTCCTCTAGGACCTGTCCTGTGATGAAAGAGGATACAAAGTCTTTGTACAACGCCCAGCATTTTCCATCCTTGCCTCCCTCAGTATACTGGGAAAGATCAATCAGGTCATGGAGACCTGTCTCCCTTCATGCTTTTCAAAACACCCAAGACCACTTCCTTTCATACATTGACATGCATTGGAATATCAGCATGCCCATCTCTCGACTCACCATCCACCATGTCTTTCTTTGCTAATATTGATGCAAACAATGGCTCGGCATGGTGGTTCAGTGGTTAGCACTGCTGTCTCACAGTGCCAGGGATCCGGGTTCTATTCCACCCTCGGGTGACTGTCTGTGTGGAGTTTGCACATTTTCCCCGTGTCTGTGCGGGTTTCCTCCGGGTACTCCAGTTTCCTCCCACAGTCCAAAGATGTGCAGGTCAGGTGGACTGGCTGCGCTAAATTGCCCGTAATGTTCAGGGATATATAGATTCGGTGGGTTACAGGGGGAGGGGCCTGGGTGGGATGCCTGAGGGTCGGTGTGGACTTGTTGGGCCAAAGGGCCTGTTTCCACCTTGTAGGGATTCTAGAAAAACTATTCGTTAAGAACTTCAACCACTTCCTCTAGCTCCAATCATAAACGTCCTCCTTTATCCTCGAGTGGGCCTATCCTTTCCCGAGCTACCCTCTTGCTCCTTGTATATGTCGAAAACGCTTTGGGATTTTCCTGACCCCTGTCTGCCAAGGACATTTCGTGGCTTCTATCAGCCCTAATTCCTCATTTGAGTTCTTTCCTACTATCTTTAAGGTCTTTGTCTGTCTTCATTTTCCTAATCCTTAGTATGCCTTCTTTCTCTTTTTGACCAAACACTCAATTTCTCTTGTCATCCAAGGTTCCCGATTCTTGCTATCCTCATCACAGGAACATGCCAGTCCTGAACTCTAATCAGCTGGTCTTTAAAAGATTCTAGAGTCAGATGTGAATTTACCCTCAAGCAGCTTCCCCAATCTACATTCCAGTTCCTGCTTAATATTGTCATAGTTAACATTTCTCTAGCTTAATACTTTCACCAAAGGACTGCTCTTATCCTTATGCATAAGTAACTTAAAACTTATGGAATTATGCTACTGTTCCCAAACTGGTCACCCGGCCTAGCTTATGCCCCAACATCAAATCCAGCATGGCCGTTTCGAGTTACACTATTCACATGCTGCTTGAAGAACCCTGCAGTGGATAACTTAACTTGTGATTCCCCAGAGCTTGTCCAACATCTACAAGGCAAAAGTTAGGAATGTGATGGAATACCCACTTGCCTGGATGAATGCAGCTCCAACAACTCTGAAGAAGTTTGACAGGATCCAAGGCAAAACAGCCTGTTTGACTAGCACCATATCCACAAACATTCAACTCTTCCACAACTGACACTTAGTCGCAGCAGTGTGCACCATTTTCAAGATGAACTGCAAAAATTCATCAAAGCAGCACCTTCCACAACTGCTCCCACCTGGAAGGACAAGGACAGCAGATACACAGTAACTGGAAGGTCCTCTTCAAATCACTCACCATCTAGACTTGAAAACATATCATTGTTCTTTAGTATCACCAGGTCAAAATTCTAGAATTTGCTCCCTAACAGCATAAATAAATTTACTGCTGTAAATGGACTGAGAGAAGGCAGTTCAATATGGCAGCTCACTGCAATCTTCTCTAGGGATGGGCAATAAATGCTTGTCCAGACAGCAACATCCCTATCGCGCTAGGTCTCAGATACTCTATAAACATCTGCTTGATCTATAGTGGCTCACACATTACCGTATTATTGCAGCTCAGTTTCAAAGCCTGCCATAATGATTATTGTGGACATCGTCACAATCTGTCTTCCTGTTTTAATTTCATTGCACAAGGTGTAAAAAGATGTGAAGGCAGAAAAAACCTAAACCGAACAGCACATTACGATCTGACATACAGAATTTGCTTCATCATAACCTGACAATCAACTGTCTTTGATGTGAAAGCAAAGGTCCCTGTTTACAGTGGGAAGAAACGAAGTGTGTGTTCTGTGCTTAGGCTGCAACTAGTCATCTATTACTGGGAAAAACACCGGTGCAGCCAGGCTAGGGAAGAGGCCATTCACTCATTCCAAGTCCAGGAAGGGATTATTCATTATCTAACCTCACTGAACAGCAACGCATTCATTGTGACTGCAAGTGTTGGATTCTTGCTGCTGTAAATCAAACCCATAACTGAACCATAAATGGAAGCAAACTGCTGAAGATCTGAAACAAAGACAAAAAAAATTGGAGAAACTCAACAGGTCTGGCAGCAATTATGGAGAACATCCGAAATATCTGAAGAATAGTCTCATTGGATTCAAAACATTAACTCTGTTTCTTTCTTCCCAGATGCTGCCAGACCTGCTGAAATTCTCACATCAGACTAAAGGACATTCAGATGGGCTTCTTTCTGTTGATATTAACAATCACTGAAACTGGGATCTAATCTAATATTCTGCATAAAAACTGAAAGAACTGCGGATGCTGGAAATTAGAAACAAAAATAAACAGAAATTGCTTGAAAAGCTCAGAAGGTCTGGCAGCATCCAATATTCTGGAAATTGGTTTATTTTCCTTATTACCTTTCCTCTTCAAAAAACTCATCTTAAAGTACAAAAAGTATGGAACAGTGATTTACTTGTACTTCTTGTGATAAACTGTAGTCACTGGTCAGGATCCAGCTTACTCTATAGAATGGGTGGAGGTCTTTTTCATAAACCAGTTTGGTCTGCAAGCTTAAGACTGGATACTTATTTTTTGGTCAGTTCAAGTTGTCCAACCAACTCCCATTCTGGCCTTCCTGTCCTCAGCCTAGCACTGTTCCAATGAAGCTCACTGGCAGAGGAGAGAGATCTGAATTTTTGTGTGTGCTGATATTTCATGCTAGCAAGGAAAGCAAACTGGATTTTACAGAGAATTTTACTGAGTACACAAGACAGAGGTTACGCTGTATGTAAAGCTCTGTTAAGGCCACAGTTGGAGAACACTTCTTTTCATCGCATGTCATCAAGAATGCACAGATATAGTTGTTGGGATGAGCTACTGGTGTGACTCTGGTCTTGGGATGGTCCCTGTTCTCACACACAAAGGTTGAAATGCAGTTTGGAAGTGCATATTGGAGGGGTGGTGTGGGAAATCTGGGTGACAGGATGATGTTGGGCTGGCCCCTGTACCCACACACAGAGGACTGAGTGCAGTTTGAGACAACTATTGGGGTGGTGTGGTGTTGTAGACCATGGGTGGTGTTGGGGTGGGGACGGTGATGGTGATGGTGATATGCTTATTGGACTGGTCCTTGTACCCACACACATAGGACCAAGGGCAGTTTGAAGGCAGATATTGGGGTGGAGGCATTTTGTACTGGTCCCTGTACTCATACACAGATCAAATGCAGTTTGGAGATGGGTATGTGGATGTGGGTAGAGATGTAGGTGACGTCTGGTGTTGGAATGGTCCCTGTACCCACACATAGGAGATCAAATGCAGGTGAGTACTGGGATTGGAAGTGGTAAGATGGGTGAGCAGGTGGTGTCAGAATTATCCCTGTAGCCACACACAGAGGATCAAGTGTTGTTTGGGAGCTGGTATTGGGGTGGGGATAGTGGTTTGGGTGAGGAGGTAGTGTTGGAATGGTTCCTGTAGCCACATAAAGAGCACAAAGTGCAATTTGGAGGCAGATATTGGGTTGGGGTGGTGTTAGGATGAACCCTGTACCCACAAACAACTACAGTTTGGAGGCAGGTATTGGGTAGGGGTGGATGTTGCGATGGTCCCTATACCCACACAGATTTTAAGAGTCATAGAGTTATACAGCACGGAAACAGACCCTTCTTCTCAACTCACCCACGCTGACCAGGTTTCTGAAACTGAACTAGTCCCATTTGCCTGCATTTGGCCCATATCCCTCTAAAACCTTCCTGTCTGTATCTGTCCAAATTTCTTTTAAATGCTGTAATCATACCTGTCTCTACCACTTCTTCTGGCAGCTCATTTAATATATGCACCACCCTCTGTATGAAAAAATTGCCCCTCAGGTCCCTTTTAAATCTTTCCCGTCTTCCGTTAAACCAATGTCCACTAATTTTGGACTCCCATACTCTGGGGAAATTTCCTTGGCATTTCTTTTCTTTCATACTCATTCAGAGCATGAGGGCAGTGCTGGCCAGGCCAGTATTTATTGCCCATCCCAGAAGGTGCTTAATAAGCAACTTCATCACTGTGGATCTGGAGTCCCACATAGGCCTCACCAGATAAAGATGTCAGTTTACTTTGCTAAAGGACATCAGTGAACCAGATGGGTTTTTCCTGACAATTCGCAACAGATTCATGGTCAGCATTACACTCTTAATTGCAGATTTTGATCTAATTCACCACATCTGCCATACAGTGGGATTCAAACTAGGTCCCAGACCACTACTTGGATCTCTGGAGTAACAGCCCAGCAATAATATCACTCGCCCATTGCCTCTCCTTGCCACCTTATCTGTGCCCTCATGGTTTTACAAACTTCTATAAGATCAATCCTCATTCTCAAGGGGAAAAAAAAAGTTCCAGCCTATTCTTATAACTCAAACTTTCCAGTCTCAGCAACATCCTTGTCAGTCTTTTCTGTACTATTTTATACAAAGAATCAAGTGCAGTTTGGAGGAAGGTATCGGGTGGAATGGTAATGTGGGTGTGGGGAGTGTTTTGCATGGTCCCTGTACTGACCAAGTGCAGTCTGGGGCTGGATGTTGGGCTGAGGCCAAAATTAAATGGGAGCCGCGCAGGCGCACTACGTCCAGAGTCAGGCAGCCGCAAGGAGCTGGAATTACAGCCGTTTTCCCCTTCCCCCGGGCACCGTGGACGACACCCCTTTTCATTTCGGCTCAGCAGCCTATAGTCGATATTAAAATAAAACACTTCTATTTCTCCTCCACTGCTGCCCTCCCGCCGGCTCTAGCTGCCCAATCGCACTCACCTGACCCACCGCCCGTTCAGCTTCAGGAAGACTACGCATGCCCAAGCACTGATCCGCACCGCGCATGCTTCCATCACCACCCCCAACGCTGCCTGCGTACGCAGCTCCTGTTCCGGAGATAGGGCATATTCTCGTCGGCCTGAATACTGGGTAAATCAGCCTCCATTCATGCTGCTTGCCGTTAATTGGTTACCTCAGTTTTGCGACATGATTCGAACTCGAACCACGGGTGCAGGTATACAAGTGTTGATATAGAATATCATACACGAGCTCTACACCATTTTTATATCCCAAAAGTAATCGGCATTCAGAAGCACTCTCCTCAATTAACACTTTGCATTAATTCTGCATTCTCTTACAGATACTGCCAGACCTGCTGAGTTTTTACAGAAATTTCTGTTTTTGTTTCTGATTCCCAGCACCCGCAGTTCTTTTGGATTTTTGTTTAATGTAGTAAATGTCTTATACTTGAATTCTTGAAAGGCCTTCACTTAGGAACCATTAACTCATGGATAAGGTTGGAGCTCAGGTAGCCAAATGTACATAAAACTGGCAGCAGAGAAGTATCAGTGTTTAAAATACTTACCCACCTTGTTGCCAAATGGGAAGTTTGTTTCTGCTGAATCTCAAGGTTTCACCATTTATTGGAGAATTTGACATCCGTTACACAATTTCACATGTTCCTGGTGGACAACAAATTGCTGAGTATATTTAATCCAGAGGAGACTAAATTGCACCCTTGTAGAAATAGTCATCTGTCTTAAGGAAGTAGTAGTGTCATCATCAAATGAGCTTTGCTCTATCACATCACAAAAATAAATACATAAAACGATTTAAAATCTTCAGATTCAAATTCAAATTCAAACTCGACTAATCACACTCTTCATAAAACGTTCCGGAGGTGAGAGTTTCATTTTGTTTTCAAACAGAATCTAGAATTAGTGATACACAGACAGATGTGAAAGTGAATCCTTCAGCCTTCATTGAAAATTGAACAACTGCCAATTCATTGCAAACATGCAGGGTAGGATCATTTTAAGTTGATATCAAATGCTTGGAAGTATATGAAACATTCAAAGAACTGAATGCAGTTTCATCTCATTTTGAATTCTGTATCTGATGTCAGAAAGCAGAAATTCCAACCTGACAAGGAGACTCTTAAGGAGTGAAATGCTTCATTCACATACAGTTCTCAGTTCATTGTACAAACCAGCCTACAGTCAACGTATCAGTATCTGCCGCACTGACTGGAATCTGCAGGTATTCGAGTCACCTGCTAAGTTGTACACAGCCATCTCTGCCAGTGTGTGGTATTTGCTTGGGTCACCACTCCTGGTACTTTAAGATTTGCCATCTCCTCATGTTTTGGGGTCTTCGATGTAATGAGTTGTGGAGTCTTTGATGTAATTCACCATCACCAATGCTGCTTGGTGTACATTATCACAGGACTAATCCAGCATCTCCTTGTAGAAGATACTACAGAATATTTACAGAAGAGGTATTGTTCTTAGAAAATGAAGGTTTATTGCATAATAGCCATACATAGAGCTACGTTTGTTCGAGCAGTATGACTAAGGACTCTTTGGAGCTGATAAAGATAATCTGGCCAGATAGCAGATTTGAATACCTGTCTCAACCCATAGACTGTGACAACAGCAGAATGGGTGAAACCAATGTAAGATGAACATTAATCCCTTCAGAACCATTACCTGATATGACAACAAGTAATTTAACAGATATCTGACCAATAAGGTTGACTGCTCTGTGACTGGCCTGGTTGCCTAGCAGCAGTGTGTGGGTCCTCTCCACACTCCTTTAGCTGATGTCGCTGTTGTTGCCCTATCCTACTTTGACACCGTGGGATCCGCGACTGCAATCAGAGAACAGCCAATCAAAGGTCTGATTGACCCTGCTGCAGGAGCTCGGATGGCCTTTGGAGAAGCTCTAACGAACCTGATGTTTGTATGCGTGATTGAACTGTGCATGAGTGTTTAACCCCACCGCCTGTAAGTCCTCTTTCCTGTGGCCACACTGGCTGTAGATGAGCACACCCCTCCCTGGCCCCGCTGGCTGTAAGTGTAGGTGGAAAAGCAGGTTACAAGAGAGATATGAACAGTTTACAGCTATATTGATATGAAAGTGGGCAGAAAGTTGGCAAATTAAGTTTAATGTGGGATAATGTGAAATTGTTCATTTTGAGTGGAGAACAAAAGAACAGAATGGGTGGCACGGTAGCTCAGTGGTTAGCACTGTTGCCTCACAGCGCCAGGGTTCAAATCCAGCCTCGGGCGACTGTCTGTAGAGTTTGCACTTTCTCCCCATGTCTGCATGGGTTTCCTCCGGGTGCTCCGGTTTCGTCCAAAGTCCAAAAACGTGCAGGGTAGGTGGATTGGCCATGCTAAATTGCCCATAGTGCCCAGGGATGTTTAGGTTAGGTGGGTTAGACATGGAGAAATCAGGGGTTGGAATGGGTCTAGGTGGGATGCTCTTCGGAGGGGCAGTGTGGACTTGTTGGGCCGAATGGCCTGTTTCCTCACTGTAGGAATTCTTCGATAAGCAGAAATTGCTGGAGAAATTCAGCATGCTGAGTTTATCCAGCAATTTCTGGTATTGGTTCAGATCTTCAGCATCTGCAGTTCTTTTATATTTTATTTTATTAACAACACGCCCAGCAGTCCTTTTCATTGATGTTTAAAGTAGGAAAAGAACACTGCTCATTACTGTTCATTGATATGCAAGGATTGAGAACGAACATCTATTTAAATTTATTTTTGAGAGTAGATCTATATAGACTTCAGAAAGCGGTCAACAAGGTCCCTAATGGCAGATTGGTTAGCATGGTTAGATCACATGGAATAGAGGGAGAACTAGATGTTTGGATACAGAACTGGGTAGAAGACGGAGGGTGGTGGTGAGGGGTTTCTATTCAGACTGGAGTTCTAGACTGGTGGTGTGGTACAAGGATTGGTGGTGTGGTACAAGGATTGATGCTGTGTCCACTGCTTTTCATCATTTATATAAATCATTTGGATGTGAACATAGACGGTATGGTTAGTAAGTTTGCCGATGACACCAAAATTGGAGGTGTAATGGACAGCAAAGAGGATTATCTCAATACAATGGGATCTTAATCAGATGGGCCAATAGGCTGAAGAATGGCAGATGGATTTAATTTAGATAAATATAAGGTGCTGCATTTTGGAAATGCAAATCAGGGCAGGACTCATAACTTAATGTTAAGGTCCTGGGGGGTGTTGTTGAACAAAGAGATGCAAGTTGATAGATCCTTGTAAGTGGAGTCACAGTTAGGCAGGATAGTTAAGAATGCATTCGGCATTTTTGCCTTTACTCGTCAGTGCATTGAGTATAGGAGTTGGGAGATCACGTTGTGGCTGTAAAGGTCATGGAATACCGGTCAGTTCTGGTCTCCCTGCTGCATGAAGAATGTTGTAAAACTTGAAAAGGTTCAGTATAGATCTACAAGGACGTTACCAGGGTTGGATTGTTTGAGCTTTGGGGAGAGACTAGATAGACTGGGGCTATTTTCCCTGGAGCATTGGAAGCAAAGGGCTGACCTTATAGAGGTTTATAAAATCATGAGGGACGTGGATAGGATAAATAGACAAGGTATTTTCACTGGGGTTAGGTGGGGAGTCCAAAACCAGAGTGCATAGGTTTTAGGTGAGAGGGGAAAGATTTAAAAGGGACCTAAGTGGCAACTTTTTCACACAGAGGGTTGTGAATGTATGGAATAAACTACCAGAAGTAGTGGTGGAGGCTGGTAGAGTTATAATATTTAAAAGGCATCTGGATCTTATAAGAATAGGAAGCGTTTAGAGGGATATGAGCAAAATGCTGGTGAATGCGACTAGATTAATTCAGCATATCTGGTCAGCATGGACAAGTTGGACTGAAGGGTTTGTTTCCATGCGGAATATCTCTATGACTCTAGATTTCCCCTTAAGGAGGAAGCATTGTCCTCTTTGCCTTGTTAAATTTTTCTCTGCAGGTGTTTGGTCCAAAAAGACTGAGACAGCAACCAAACAGCCTGTTGCACAGAATCTGACAGTCCCACTTCCAGCTGGTGTTGGAATTTATGCAGGTAAACTACCTGCATTTTGCACTTTGACAGTGTGGAACTACAGTAGTGATGGGTTAATGATTTTTTTACTAGGTTAATAATTTGAAGCACCAGGCAAATGTTCTGGAGACAAAAAGGGACATTTTGGTAAAATTCTGCAGATTTTGCAGAATATCTAGGTAGGAAGCAGAGTTAATGCTTTGAGTCAACTGACCCTTCTTCAGAACTGATTGTACCTGGAAAAAAGGGGAGGGGTGGGGAAAGAATAAATGATAGGTGGAAATGGAGCCCAGGAGACAGAAGAACGTTCTGGAGAAGTCAGGTTCAAATCCCATCATGGCAGATGTTGAAATTTGAATTCAATAAACTAAATCATGGCTTTAAAAGTTAGTGACCATGTGACAACACAGGGATTGTTGATGAATCGGGTTGGATTTTACAGTGTCCTGTCAGAAAGGAAATCTGCCGTACTTCTTGGTCTGATTCACGTGTGACTCAAGACCAGGAGTAATGTGACAAACAAAATAATTGTGAAGATCTGAAACAAAAAAAATGCTGAAGAAACTCAGCAGGTCTGGTAACGTGTAGGAAGAAAGCCGAGTTAACATTTTGAGTTTGGTGACTCTTCAGTTACGTGGCTGTCTTAACTCCCATCTGAAATTGTCTCACAAAACTTTAATTTGTAATATATGGCAATAAATGTTGGCATTTCCATGATGCCCAAATCCCATATCAGGATTGATTTTTTTTTTCTCTTTAACAAAAATGATTGGATCCAAAGCATATGCAGATTACCCAGCAGACCCACAGTGAAGAAAATCCCCTATCCACAACACAGAAAGTGTCATTATATGGACAAGCCAGGCTCTTGGTGGTTTTTTTTTGTGAGGGGGAATGGGAGATGAGGGTGTTAAGGATTGTCTCATGCCCAGTCTCACGTCCCCTCCTGGT